TGATGGCTGCGCCCTGCGCCCTTGCCATGTCCAAACTAGTCTACCCTGAAGTGGAAGAGTCCAAGTTCAAGGGCAAGGCAAGCATCTGCCTCTCCAGTGGGTGAGTGTGAGGAGAGGGATGGTGGAGTGGGGCTACATGCATCCTGCCAGTGTGGGGAAGCCGTGGGGGCAATTTGGGGGCACAAGTGGACATCGCGGGTGGCCCCAGGTTGGGAGAGCCTGTGCTGTGCAGACATCCATGGAGTGAGAGCTGATCTTGCACAGGGGACGCCTGGCCACATGACCCCATTGAGGTCTTTTTCCACACAGGGAAGAGCGGAACATCCTGGAAGCTGCAAGCAATGGGGCTGCCGCCTCTGTGGGGCTTGTGGCCAACATTGCAGCCAACCTCATTGCCTTCTTGGCAGTGCTGGAGTTCATCAATGCTGCCCTGCGCTGGTTCGGGGAGATGGTAGACATCGAGGGGCTCTCCTTCCAGGTATCCCCAAGGGCAGCCCCATGGTCTGGGCTGCCAGATCCTGCATCCCCCACCCATCCCCACCTTTGCCCACCACCTCAGTAGGCTGCCAAGACCCTTGCTGGGTGTTTGGCAAATGCTGGCAGCGGATTCCCAAGCCAGGGGCTATGCAGATGGTCAGCTCTGAGTTGCTCCCTTCTGGAATGCTTTTCCCAGGTGATCTGCTCCTACGTCCTCATGCCCGTGGCCTTTCTCATGGGGGCAGACTGGGCAGACTCACCACTGGTGGCTGAGCTCTTGGGGGTCAAGATCTTCCTGAACGAGTTTGTGGCGTACCAGCAGCTGGCCACATACAAGAAGAACCGTCTGTCGGGCCTGGAGGAGTGGGATGGAAGCCGGAAGCAGTGGATATCTGTGAGGGGCACCTGCCGCCCTGCCAGGCACAGGGCAGGGATGGAGCCAGCCAAAACTGGGCGTGGGACCTGGCCAGGCAGATGGGTGGTGGGGAGACAGGGAGGTGATGGTGTTGGGGGTGGGAGGGCACCTATGGCCAACTAGACTTGGATGTTCACTAACTGCTGGGTATAGGGTCTTCCTGAAGGAGTCAGTGAAGCCCTTTCCCATTTATCCTGCACCTTGGTGGGGCAGATCATGGTGCTACAGGGCCCCCTGTCCCCCTAGCCCAGCCTCTCCCAGGGGCAGGCTGCCTACCATCTGCATCCTTGCTCCAAAAAATAGCTGAAGGAAAAAGGATTGGGGTGGGGGACTTATCTCCATCATGTCTGGCTGGGCTGGGAGCTACAACATGGTGCTCTGGGGCTGCTCCTGGGAGGAGGTGACCGTCCCCTGCTGCTGTGCCCTCCAGGAGCGAGCCGAGACCATCACCACCTTTGCACTCTGTGGGTTTGCCAACCTCAGCTCCATCGGGATCATGCTGGGAGGCCTGGGTGAGTGTCACCCGCGTCCTGGGTGCCTGTGCACAATACAGGGGGATCCTGGCCAAGGAAGCAAGGGCTCAGCTGGGGCAGGAGGAATTTGCTGCCCTCAAGCCTCCATGTTTGTTCTCTGCCAGCACATAGATAAGAAACAGGATTTGCATGATGTGATAAGGATGATTTTGCGCTGCACTCATGGGCTCTTGCACGTGCATGTCCCACAAGCCCAGGTGCCACCCCGCCATGGGGCAAAGAGCAGATACTCCAGTGCTGAGAGCACCAAGGGCTCTCTGGTTGATCATCCATGGGTGCAGGGTTGGCACAGTGCTCTGGCAGCACCCACCACTGCCAGGATGGGCAGACAGCGTGCTGGGCGCTGGCTGGGATCACCATGTCCCCCAGACACCAGGGGTTGGAGTGGGCAGGGCACTATGTGGCAGAGCTAGCTGGGGACCTGGGACACATCCCTATCTGTCCCCAGCCCAGGGTAGAGCTGGAGCAAGGATCTGACTCACCCCAGTCTCTGCTTTGTCCCCACAGCCTCCATGGTACCCCAGCGCAAGGGCGACTTAGCCTCCATCGTGCTGCGAGCCCTGCTGACTGGCATCTGCGTCTCTATGCTCAATGCCTGCCTGGCAGGTAGGTCCTTGCCCACAGCCCGCGGAGCCAGAAAGAACCAGGGAGGGACAGGCAAAGGGCTGAAGACCCCTATAAATGCAGGTGCAGGGATGGGGATGGCTGGCCTGTCCTCGCCATGGCTCTGCCAGGGCCTCCAAACCCTCTGCTCTCCTCTCATGGCTTTGCCAGGGGCTGCCCAAGCCCAATAGCTCTGTTGGGGCCCCTCATCCTCATCTGGGCTGGGGACATTTCAAGGGCAGCTTTTGGGGCACTGCAAGGAGTTCCCTGGGGTCACTGCTGCAACCATCTTGGGGCTGAAGTGGGACAGTGCATGGGACCTTGCAAGCAAGCATAGTCAGGGCATTGGATTTGCGAGCAGGGTTGGGGTACAGGATTTGCAAGCATGCTCGGGGTATGGGATTTGCATGCACGGTCCCTCAAGAGCCCCAACCAGGAGACCTTGTCCCCCAGGTCTCCTTCATGTGCCAACGGAGTTGGGTGACTGTGTGACCTTCCTCAGCACCGCCAACTTCAGCTCTACCAGCTACACCATGTACACATGCTGCAAGCAGCTCTTTGCCAGGTGGGTGTGAAGGGCTCAAGAGCCCTATGGTCCTGCCTGGGGACCCAGGTGGTGAGGCAGCAGCTCGTCCTGACCATGCTTCTTTCCTTCCAGCTCGGTGCTTGAGAACGGGACGCTCTCCTTCACAGGAGCCTGGGCTGGCCTGGCAGAGAGCATGCCATGCCTGATGCAGTGCTGTGGGCACTACAATCACACATCCTGCATGGGGACAACCTAGAAATGTGCAGGCAGCTGTCTGGTCTGGGGGCAAGGGCCTGGGAGCACCAGGGTCTGCAAGGCCTGGCCCCAAAGGTAGAAAAAAATCCCAGGAGAGACCTGTGCATTTGGTCTTTTCTGCTTCACTGATGAGACAGACAGCCGTGTGCACCTTGCAACCAGCATCCTAAGGTGCTGGCCCCACAGACACAAGGGAACTGCTCCCAAATAAATAATGGAAATCCTCGTGTGCTTGCTCTCAGCCCCGCTCTGGCCCCTGACTGTGGCTGTCCCACATGGCACGACGTGCTTTGCTCAGGCTGCACCCCGCAACCCCAGCTACCGTAGCCAGCATTCACGGCAGACCTTGTAAGCCAAGCCTCCACCAGGTGCCAGCTTTAGGGTCCAGCCCCGGCCACCTTCTTCTCCCCTGCGGGGTACAGATGGTGGTAAAGCCATTACTTGAAGATGATTCCTTCCCCTGAACACAAAGCCACCCCGTCCTGCTGTGCTTGGGTGCATCTTTCCGCAGGGACCACAGTGCCAGCGAACAGGCCAGTCCTTCTTGCTTTATTGCACTCAAGAGCACCCATTTGCGAACATGGCCATGTTATGTACATTGTTATTTTACAATGACCCAACAATAAAGCACCAGGACCGCAGAGCATGCCACATTCCCAGCCCGTTCCCTTCCCTCCCCCTCCAGGCTGCACTGAGCCACCATTTTGGACACCACCATGCGGGGTGGCATTGCTGGCACCGGGCATCCTCCTCCAAAGCCCTAGGGAAGGCGATGCTCTGCGGCAAGACCAAGCAGGTAGTACTGGGGCTCTCTGCAAGCCTTGCTGCCCACTGCCATGCTCTGCCAGCTGCTGCATGCCTGAGCAAGCTGATGGGCACAAGGGAGGCTCAATGCAACGCAAGGTGCTTTACTTTCCAAGCATGAGCATCACTGCCTGTCCATCACTGCCTCCCACTTCAGGGCAGCGGGATCTGGAGCGTGTGCTGCTAGCTGCCACTGGGGTACAGCATGTGCCAAGCAGGGGTGATGCTAAGCAACCATGACCACGTCATGCTATGGGGCTGGGCATGGCATACAAGGTCTCTGTATGGCAGGTGGGCAAGGAGGGGTGAGTCCTGTGGGCTGGACACCCACACGTGCCAAAGCAGCGCCTGGCATGGAGGGGAGGTCTCCCCTTCGCCCCACTCCCAAGTGCCCCATGTGAGGTAGAGCATCCTTACCATGGCGCTGGCCGGTGCCCATAGCAGCACTGCTTCCCTCAGCATCTGCCCAGTAAGGGGCAGGGAGGCTCACCCTGGGGAGCAGGGGAGGCCAGGAGGGCAGGAGTGCAAAATCCCATCCCTGTGCAGCTGCCAGTACTGATGCCAGCGCCCCGCCATGGGACTGGCCCCACATAATAGCAGCAGGAGCCCTGCAGCTCACCACTAAACCCCTCTGCAGCAAAACCTTTTAAATCACGGTGTGCCAGGGCAAATGAGACCACCTGGGCGCTGTTGGGGTTCACATCCTTGACACAGAGTGCTGGTGGGGCTTGGTGCGGTCACTTTATGGAGGACACAAAGAGGGACATGAGGTGCTGGGAGCCAGGAGGGCAGCCCAGACTCCCAGTTTACTCGGGGAAGCCAGGCAGAGGGCATGGCGCCTGCAAAGCCTGAGGGAGCAGGTCTGACGGCCCTTGCCTTAAGGAAGGCAAACAGAGAGAGTCGAGAGAGGAAAGCGAGCCCAAGCGTGGAGGGGCACGTGGCCCCACAGGCTCCAGCACCGGCAGCAGCTCTTGTAGAGAGATATTGGCGAGGAGGGCTGTGCTGCCCATGGCTCACAGCCCCCCAGCGACCCTGGCCGAGCCACTCACACTAGCACACACCACACAACTCAAGCGCCACAGGCTAGGGTGGGAGCCAAAGGGAGGAGAGCGGCGGGGGCCGACCCCGGCCACGCGTTCCCCTTTCCACCCCGCGC